TTTCAGAGTACACTGGCAAGCACAGAGGGGGTTTTCGAGCGTAGCCTTTTTCTCAAACGCGGATTGAAAAGATCGGGCAGTGCAGAAAGTCCATGTTAAAACTGTGTGAATGCATGCCCAGATTTCTTGGATTCCCACTCCTGTCCTAAAACCACATTGTGCAAGTGGTTATGTTCTTGTTTGCCAAACATGAAATTTAGTTACAAAGTTAGGAATTAGACTTGGTGACAACTATAGATTTTTCTCTTCCAGCGAAGCATCAAATGAGTAAGCTGCCCGTGTCTGATGAGTGCAGATTGCAGGGCTGGGTGCCTCTTTCCTCTGCGATAAACACGTAGGAATTGCAACTTACCTCTTAACCTTTATTTTGTCATTTTTAAAGCTAGTACTTATGTAATCAGAAGATCTAAATTTAGCAAATCTAATTACTTTGAACTGTGTATTAATATTTATTACCGAACAGATGTTGTTAGGGGGTGTAGTATCATGCACCAGTACTTGATGAAAAGCGCTCTTAAACCTTCTCCGGTAAAAGAAGTCTCTATTCTGCTGCTCTGCACCTGTCGGCTCCTGTTTCAGGCGTTCAGTTGACACTCCGAATGTGCATCGTTATACTTCCGCAGTGTGACTGCGTATTTTATTCCTAATTTACAAGAATGTGTAAGTGAAAGAGAGAACATGGGATAGAGCAAGACCAGAAAAACCTACAACTAACATGGATGAATGCTGTGTATAAAGCAATGAAAATGGTGCCAGTTAAAATGTCTTTTTATTTGTAGCTCCTTAAGAGACTTTTTCTTTAATGCACCGAGAGACTACTTGCCATGATGCTTGCCGAAGCAAGTTTATAATTATAGCAGCGCTTGATGGACTTCCTGGGTAGTTGGGATTTCAGCTGCTCAGGCTGCACCACAGGAGGCATCTGCTCTGGAACTGTTCTTCTGGGAACCTGCTTTTGGATGAACAGGAGCAACACTTCCCAGAGACATTGTGCACAAATAATTCTTGCTGCAAACTGTTATTTTGGAATAAATGATAAACAGTAAAAATGTTGCTAAGCTAGTACTACCTTCTGCTTTAATTTTATCAACATTTTTCTTCCTTTTTTAAAAGTGGGGTGAAACTGCAGTTGATGAAAGGATTAGAATCTCAATTCCTGAAGCACTTGCTGCTGCCTGTTCTTGGAAGTGCAATCCTTAAGTAAAATTATTCAAATTGTTTCTGTTAAAGAAACTTTTTAAGCATCTTAAGTTTTGAAGTGCTGCGTAAACCATAATTTTTGTCTTTAATAACCTCTATGTGTCCATAGCTTCGTTTTCTTGCAGCACAGACAGTTTGGTTTGAGTGGTCTACTCAGTGGTGAGCAATCCTCCTGCCGTTACAATCCTTTATAAGCAGCTCAGTAGCGTTGCCCCATTTGTCCCATGCAGAATTCAGAGTGAGAGCTTAGCAGTTAAAAAAAAAAAAAAGCATACGTTCTCTTTAATATTGTCCTGTCTTGTTATGTCTCGTGGTTCTGGCTGGTATTTCTCCTCTGTTTTCAGATTAATGTTTCCTGCCTGTTGAAGTGCTCATGACCTCAATAATCTTGTTGGCAATTCTGCCGGAGTCTCATGCCGTTTGCTTATTTCTCCTAATAACTTATTTTCATTGCACTTCCAGTAGGCAGGTGAATGTCTGATGCAGTAGCAGTAGGTAATACACATTTTTGTCGCACAACACATCTGACAATAAAATAACTTCTATTGGATTTATTCCTTGCTCGGCCGTTGTCTTGGGTTTGTGGAAAGCTGTGAATGGATGCTGAAAGCGTGCTTTGTGCTGCAGCAATCATCTTAATCGACTGGTCATGCTGTACTGTATCTTTGACCCTTGGATGATTTTTCAACTGTTTTGTGTGTTTGTTTGTATTAAATTAGTTAATGTTTCTTGAAAGTTCTTCTGTAGGGCTTTTTAGGCTAACTTCACAGTGTTTGCTTTTCTGATTCCTTGCATGAACTGCTAAATGCAGTGGAACAGTTGCAGAAAAGTTTATTACGCGGACCTTAGCATCAGTGCCAGAGATTGTTCTGGTTTTTAAAATCGTGACTGCATTCAAGGTACATTGCTTTGGGATTACGTTTGTTCTGTTTGTTGTGAAATAGAATTTACTCATTGCAGACACTTCAAGCTTTTTTTGGTGACACGAAGCATTTAAATGTCCTGAGCAGGTGGATGGGTCTTTACCAGCTCTGTCTGTCATTCCTAAGTTTACCTTGTATTTGAGGACCTGGTTTTGAGTAGGATTCTGTTTGAGTTTCTTGTCTCTTCAGCTGTCCGTCTTTTGAAGAAATTAGACACAGGCTAATGCTGGAAGTGAAGACTTCAAGAGCGAGGCTTGACTTGATCATTAAATGTCAATCATGGCTTTTGTTCAACTTCTGTAGAACAAAATTTCCCCTTCTTAGAAGTGCTGTACTATGGAAGAAGTTGAGTCATTAAGTCTTGTGTAAATTCAAGCACTGTAACTTAAAGTGTGATTATAAATACCTTAACTTTTTCTGTTATAAACCAAGTATTTCTAAGACTTTCACTTAAGTTTAGACTAGTCTGTAATTGCTAGATATGCGATGCCAAGGACAGGAAAGGATGTCACTCTGCGTTAGATGTAGGTAGCTCATAATTTTGATTTTTTTCCTTATTTTTACCAGTCAGGTCCACTGTGTCATGCTGATATTTATTCAGCTTTACACATTTGAAGTTATTTTAACATAAAGTTATTCAGAAAATCCTTGTAGAAAGTGAGGCATTTGCTTCCTCCTTCCCCTCCCTGGTCCTGATGAGAGACATGATGGTACTTGAGGCAGGAGGGTTGAAAGTTGTGTTTAAAAACACCACAAAAGCCTCATCTGACTTAAGGAAGCTTTTTCTGTTATTTTGTCTGTTTACCTGGAGTTTTCCTTCTCTTCTTTATTATATATGATCTCAGTAAAAGGTTTCTTTTCTGGGGATTTGTGCTTGTGAAAGGTTTATAGGTTTGTGTCCACTGGCTTTTTTTTCTCTCTAGAGGAAACGTACACGTTCTTCATCCTGAAGAAAGATCAAAGTTCACTCATAAAACTGGTCTTCCCAGACTGACTGCGCAACTGCTTTGAAATGAGTATATCAGCCTTACCAGCAGTGAAAATACAATCGCCAGATCAAATTGAAGTCGCTTGAAGGAAGTAGGTTGCTCATTAAAATGGTGAAAGAGGAGAGGCATCAGAAACCATGAATCTTTTTGCACGCAATCTTCTTTGGCTTGCAGTTCAGAAGACGGCTGGTTAACAGAACTTGTGCTGATGGCTGGTGAAGGTGGATGGCAGTAATTAAGCTGTTAAATCCTGTGAATTTTAGTTCCCTTCATAAGTGTTAGAAAAAAGATGTAAAATAGGAGGACTTGGGCTTTCTAAAGTGAAAGTCTAACAGCGTTAGATCCTATGAGAAGAAACAAATGTAAGCAACCAGTTTAATTTAAATTATTTTGCATTGGATTCAAAAGTGAGAAGAGAGGATTTTCTTTTTATTCTTGGAAAGGATTCAAGTTTGAACACACCAGGTCTGGAAGCTTGTTTAGGCTTGATGTGAGAGTCTCAAGAAGACAAAATGGTTATTGCAAGTACAGTTTCTCTGATACAATTTGGAATAGAATTTTATTTCCATTGATGTAGAATTTAGGACTCAGAATTATCCTTGGTTTTTTTAAAGTGGTTTACTAAAAAAGGGTGAAAGAGTAAAACTGGTATTTGAAGACCAATATCTGGGAACAAAGATGTGTTTAAGTAACATTGAGCCAATTCTGAATTTTAAAGCAGTGTGTAAATATTTCAAAAGGAAGTAATTGCTTTTGAAGACACTGTTGCTATACTTGGAAAATATTTTCACCTGATGCACATAGTCAGACTGCCAAGAACACCTGAATTCTGCTCCTGCCCTTTTCTGGGGCTTTTAAATAGATCATTTGGCTTTCTTCTTTTCCTGTTTTTGCAGTGTGGCTCTCCTTTATCCACCCATGAGTGTGAAAGGAAGAAAGCACTGCATTCTTTGTGTTTGCACTGAGGTCAGTGCAACTGCCCATAAATAAGATCTGTTACAGCTGAACAGGGATGATGTGGGCTAGAAGGGTCATCGTAATGGAAGAGGTCACAAAAAGGGGACCAAAGGTTTCATTGATTTTGAAGGCAGCTTCGTAGAATCAGTCTGTGGTGCCTTGGGAGAACCATCCCACTTGTTGATTCAGACTGAAAATGGGGAATCAGATCCCTTGTGCTTTGCCCCCATTTTGATGTGTGAATGTTTTAATGAATCTAGTGTGACATCCAGGGCAGGCTTCCCCAAACGCTCAGCTCTCCCAGAGCTCGTGAAGAGCGCCTTGATAAAATCCCATGGTGTGTGGGTATGAGCAAACTCAGCATCTTGCCAAGTCTTGGTTTTCTGAGAATTGTCATTTGGTTTGCTCTTCAAGTAATTACCATGTCCAACTTGGAGAAGAAAACTTTAATGAGCTCTCTGCGGCATGTGTAGAAAAATGTGCAGGAAAGGGACTTCAGGTCAGTGTTGATTTCTGATCAGAAAGCAATTTGTTCACAGGTACTCAGAGCTGAAAGGAGATATCCTTGTTCTCAGTGCAGTTCCTCTGATGGTCTTACCCCCGTGAGCTTCAACAATCCATTGTCGTTCTAGATGTTATCAGCATGATGTTTGCGGCAGAGACCTTTTTAAGCCTTCTAGATGATACTCTACTGAAATAATACATTAGTAGAGCAGTAAAAATACAGTTTGTGGAAAGGATTTTGTGTAGCAGAAAAAAAGAGATTGTGGGAAAAGAGCGCAATAGCTGAAGCTGACCATACCCACCAAAACAGTAGACATTCCCGCTGTTGTTTATTTAGAAGTTTTTTAATTCTCATGTTGTCTAAATAACCATTAGTCTTGCTTAATATTTTCACTGTTATTTCATGCACTTTTTTCTCCAGGCCCAAAATGTTCAGCACAGCAAGGACATGACTCTTGCCAGCAACCGCAGTCTGGCAGAAGGCAATCTTTTGTACCAGCCAAAGTTGGAGTCTATGAAATCAAATTTGACTGAAAAATATCGAGAGCTGCAGGTTCTTTTTGAAGCATACCAGATAAAGAAAACAAAACTAGGTAACATCTGCTGTTGCCAATTACGATTTGCTGTTTTCTAAGTGAATGTAAATCTTTTGCACTTTTTTGTTTGTTTGGTTTTGGTGTCTCATTTTCAGCTGTGTGAATTAGGGTACAAAATGAAATGTCATTCTTGTGTAGTTCTGAAACAGGTCGTGCTTCTAATGTTTTTTTTAAGTATCTGTGACACCTGGTAACAGATACTGTAAACTCTGTTACTGGGTGGTTACCTACCTGTTGTTGACCTACTGTTCTCTGAATAATCAAATTAATTTACCCTGTTAAAAGGCAAAACATAATTTGAATTTTCAGTGATTAATCCTAAATCAAATGGAATATTGCATTTGACTTTCTGGGTTATGAAATATTGTACGTCTGATACTGCACTTTAAAGTGCTTTGTCTTTCAATATTATATATAATTGTAATTAAATTTTGGCTTTTAGCCTTCTGACAATATTCCTAAATTGCTTAACGTATTTTATTACTGTAGATCACCCTGTGTAGAACAATGGAGTAGGCTGGTTGTACATCTGTGCCTTGGAAATTTCTATGCTTGCTGTGACTGCATAGCTTCAGTTAGAAGTCACTTAGAGCCAGCTGTCGCTTACTGTTGTTTTTGTGCCCTTACAGACAGACAATCCAGTAATGCTTCACTGGAGACACTGCTAGCGCTGCTTCAGACGGAGGGAGCTAAGATTGAGGAAGACACAGAGGTAATGACAGCACACTTCAATTCTGCCACATACACCCATTACTGAGGACTTTCAGTGTATAGAGCTGCAGGGTAGTGCTGGACACGTAATATACTACAGGGATGTTTTTAAGAATATGGTCTGGTCTCTGCTTTGAACTTCAGTGAACAGTCATTTGGTTTCAGTGAGAATATTTTTGAGTAATTTTTTTGCTCCTAACATCTTTGAAGTTTAAGAGATAAAACGCTCCTTTTCACAAAAGAAAGCCAAACAACCTCTCTCAGTTCCTTGGCATTGCTTTCAAACTCATATCGTATAAATGTGCAAATTTTTTTTTAAATTGTGTTTGACTGGTATATGTATTAATCCATTGCAAATGTCAGTTAGTAACCTAATGAAAAACTGTTCCTGCACTGTTTTTTCTCCAGCATTTCCGGTAAAATATTCCATTATGATTTCAACGTATCTGTCTAGGTGCCAGTGATCACCACACTCTGTGATACAAGTGCCTGAAGGGTGCTCTGATTTCAGAATAATGGATGTGTTCGGTTTTGTTTGTTGGTTTGCCTGTAGGATGTTCTCTAACTACATAGCATGTTAGCATCGTGGAAATAATCTGCTCATTGGCCCATTGGCCCTGAGTTGTGATCACAAAAAGACATTCCCAGGACAAGTTGGATTTTGTGATTATATGTACGGTCACCTCTCTTAATTATTAAACATCGTTTACCCAAAGGCACAAGTAAGCGTGGGTGTTAAACCTGGCTTAGCAATAATCTGCCTGTCTGTACTGAGGCTTGTGGAGCTCTCAGTGTTTCTGTTGGCATTTCAAGAAGTCCTAAGCTGTAATTCAGCTTAGCTGGCAGTCTGGAAAGCTGTTGAGCTTGATTCATTCCTGTCTCTGATGATGAGGGGAATGTTCAGAGCTAGATTCAGATGTTCTTACTGCTGTTGCTTCAGTATAAATTTCAGCAAAAATTATATTTAACTCCCAATGTAATGAGTAATAATGAATTTAAATTTCTGCTCAGAACACTTAGTATGCCAGTCATCTTCCATATGCAAGCTGGAAAACCACAGGCAAAATTACACTATTTTTAGGTTATAAGCCATTTAGATTCTCTTGCAGTATGCCATTCTCTAAGAGATTTTTCCATATTTGACAGAATATGGCAGAAAAATTTCTTGATGGTGAGATACCACTGGATTCCTTCATTGATGAGTACCAGAGCAAGCGTAAACTGGCTCACCTGCGCCGCGTGAAAATCGAGAAGCTCCAAGAAATGGTGCTGAAGGGACAGAGACTTCCACAGGTTCAGCCTCAGCCGAGAGCACCCGAAACAACACCAGCACCTCAAGATTCCTACACTTCGGATGCAAACACACCTCCTTCTGTCGTGCCCCGACGAATACCACCCCCTCCGCCTTCTTCAGTCCCAGCAGGACGCTTTCCTACTCCTTTTACTGCAGCCATGAGTTCAGGACCAGCTCTTTCTTATCCAGGTGCTCCATATCCTCCTCTCCCCCCTCGACCAGGAGTTCAGGCAGCAAGTCCGATGCCACAGCCGGGATACCCATCTCCGTTTGTCCCACAGTATCCTCCAGCTCTTCCCCAAAGACCACCTCGCCTTCCGCCACATCCTGGCTTTATCCTCCAGTGAAGATTTTGGTGCGCCTAACTTATGTATTGGTGCTTATATTTCCTCTTTCTCCCCATCAGAGACTTCATGTAGGCAGTGGAAAGCCTCTGGTTTTTGCACAATGGAGTACAAAATTCGAGCTGTGGCACAGAGGCTTCCAATTGCGTTTGGTAAATGTGATTATTTTTGGTTTTAAATATCAGTGACAACAAGGTTTTTCTAGGAAGGCGGTAGGGTCTAAATTTTGTAAATCCAACAAGTTGTGAAACAACATACAGTGGATTTCCTGACATTACAAATCGAATCATGCTCTGAATTCTTTAGTGATGGTAAACCAGCATCCTCTGCTGCTCTGATGTATTCCCATCACAGCTGGATGTATGTTTGGCAAACTGGGAGCTGTTTGTCTCTCTAAAGAATTCTCTGTCAGTGGTAGTGGTTTGATAGTAACAACCATATCTGGGCAAAGAGTTGCAACGGACTGCGTCAGCGTCCTTTGCAGTGTGCCCGGGCAGCGGCATTTGTAGCCAGGTGCACAATGTTTTCAGAGCTCGCTGAGCTGAAACTCTTGTCAGAAAATGTTCTGTGGTTTTTAGACAGTAAAAATCCCAAGAGTTTCATTTCTACATTTCAGTTGTTACCTTAAACTTTTCATAACAAAAATACACACCCCTCCCACTCCTGAATAGCTTGATATCCTGAAAGTCCTGGTCTCTTGAAATTAAACTAAACTGTTTGTAGAGCCAGTTTAGAGTTTTATAGAAACTTTACCAGGCATTTTTATTCCCTTGCTATTTATGACTCTTTCTTACTTTGTTTTTCTTTTCCACACCTTGGATACAGAAGTGATTTTTTTACACAGGTGCTTAGCTTTTGATATCATGTGATTCCAGGAATCTAGGCAGGGTATTTTCTTAATCAAATACTGGGTTTTCACATCATGTAATTGCCCACTTGAAGCTCCACGATTTCATTTTATTTCTCAAACTCAGTCTCTCGCTTGGCAGAACTATTTTTAACTTTCCCGTTTCCTTTAGTTTTGCAGTTTTTGGCATGCAGGTCTATCTGGAATTTGCAGTTAACGTTTCTCTGCAAGGAGGCAAAACAGAAAAGCTCCATGGTGGCTGTTTGCATCTTACATAATCCATTCTTGACTTCTTATGCCACTGGAGGGGGAGTCTGTTGAGGGGAGCTCAGATTTCATTCTCGATGTGACCCTTGAAGCCTGAGATGCAGACACACGCTGGTATTTTGGTCTAGCATTGGAGGAGGCAAATCTTAACAGTTGTTGCTTGCACAGAGCGTTTCTGTAAATTTGTTACCAATTTTTTACGTTCACAAACAACTTTCAGCTAATTAATGGTAACTTAAAAAGCTGACAGTCCAGAATCTGGCATATCCCCTGTATTATTTCCAGACATTTTCATATCATTGACCTGGAATGCACTACATTGTTTGGGAGGCTGTGCTACAAAAAAGCATCAGTCAAAATAGAGTATCTTCTTTTTTTTTATTTCTTTACGTAAGGCCCTTGACTGTCCCTTAATCATTTCCTCTGGAGTGTGGTGGTTGCTAGCAAATACTAATCTGAAATTAAGCTCATAACAGGAAGCTCTCTGTTCTGAAAATATGGTTATTTGGCTTGTTTCGCCTTCTAAAGACAAAGGGCAGAGGGTTGGTCAGTGTTCCTGGCATCTGAACCAATTCCCCAGTGTAAGTCTGGAAAGTTTCTGTAGATGGGGGATTTTGTGAAGCAATGTGCATTCGATTTGTTTTCAAAGTGTGTTCTTTCTGTAATCTAGTGATGGTACAGGATGTGTTTTGGTTTTTTTTAATAGTGTAATATCTTTTCTTGGTATTATTTTCTCATTGAAGCTTTGTATAAGCATGGTTAATTATGACTCGTTTCAAAGTAATTTTGCTGTGCTATTAGTGCTGGTATTTGGATGGCAGCTGTTGTATCTGAATGCTAAACTGAGTCTGCTGTAGAAATGATTTGTGTCCTCGAAAGAATTAAGGTAGGTGGGGGCTACCAGGGTGGTGACTGAGTACAGAAATTCGTACTTGGAGCCTGCTACACAAAAACTCTAAAACACTCTCAAATAGTTTTGCTAACATTTAATAAAAACAACCAGGTGTATTTTACACTTATCAAGTGCCAACTTTTTTTTCCGAGGGCTGAAAATCCTCAGAAGTGATGGAGGTGATGGATAAGTGTATTGTGAATTTGCACTGCATTTTATGTATCTAACTTTATTGGTATTAGTAGTCCAAAAATATTTTTACTACTTGTTAAATTTTCTGTCTTTTGGTAACTTTTGTGATAACATGACCTTTCAGGGATACTTTATCTAGAAACAAACTGTTGTGCAAACTAAATACAAACGAAGCTAATGCAATTTTTCTGTCTGAAAGCAAAACAATGCATTATTGCGTATGCATGTGGCTGATGTGCCTTAGGATCACTACTTGTGATTGTAATACTAGGATATTAGCATTTTTATCATTTGAATGGCCATTGCTTATCTCTAAGGGCTCTTGAAGAACCCTTTCTTTTAAAAAAAAAAAAACTCACCCTCGTACTTCAGAAGAAACAAAGGCTGTATCTGCTATTTGTAAGCTTATAGCTGCCTTCGAGTGATGGACAAGTTTGAACACAGATAATGTAACTAAAATGATGTTTCAGTTATAGAAGTTTCATAACTGAAATCCAGCTGCTCATGGAGAACGTTTTGCCATTAATTTTGTGTGTGTACGCACAAACTGTAAATATATACTTGACTGCTGATAATGTTTAATGGTAAAGGAGAAAGATGACTGTGGAAAGCTGTTTAAATCCTTGCAGAAACGAGCGTTACAAAACACTAACCTGAAGGAGTCGGGCAAGAGGTATGTCGGTGCTTTTGACCTGTTGCCCTTCGACAGCTTCTCCTGTTCTGTTATAGCTAATAAATTCTGCTATGGCTAGGATGTTTAGAATCATACTAATTTGCACTGTTTATAAGATAGTGAGATTAAAATGCCATAGGCAAGCTGAGAGTTGAGAGGAGGCAGCTCAGTATGTTTGCCAAAATATATATATTATAATGTTGTCTTGAGGATTTTTAATGTCTGCTGCAGATAGCATATACTTCCCCAAAGCAATTGGAGTGAAGAAGAATCTTTTAAATATGATGTGTAACACGGCTTTATAGAGTGTTGGTAGCGTGGAAGATGGTCTCTTTGGATGGTGAGACTTTTGCCAGCCTTTTGGATGCAGTTCTGGAAGTTATGACTGATTTGGTGGTATGTGGTTAAGTTGGTTGATTGGTGAGCAGCACTGAAAGGTTCTAACTCAAGGATGAGTTTCGCTGCACTTCAGTGCTGTCTCCAGGAGGAAGCAGAGTGAGATGCTCTAGCACAGCTGATCCACACAGGTCACCTTCGTACCGGTGACCCTGGAGGGACTATATAGAATATAAGCTTTCATGTGATGCCAGGAGGCAGAGCCCTGCGCAGTCTGGTCATGGGTAAGCGTTACGTTTAGTGCCCCAACTTCCACAACCTCAGTCTCGACCTCTTTTGGGACTTCTCTGCCCTCTCAAACTGGAATAATAACCTAGATACAGAGCTCAAGTCGACAATTCCTGTAGCCTGAGTATAGAGCTGCTTGGCAAACATTGAGCTCAGAGGAGGTAGAGTCGTCCTGCACCTGAACAGTTCCTCTGTGTCATCCTGGACAGTCTAATAAAGGGGCAATTTTATATGCCTAGCAAGTTGTGAAACGTACAGTGGATTTGTTTGCATAATAAGTCTTTCTGTAAACTACTGTGGTCTGATTTTAAATAAAATAGCATATCTCTCTGGGAGTCGTGTGCCTTCATTTCATCACACTGGAGTTACGTTAATGTTTTTCAATGCTAATGATGGTTTTTATGGAGCAACATAAAAACAGAGGTGAATGTGGAACATAAATTTGTAAGAAAATGAATTATTTGTAGTAAATCTGTTGGCCATGTTTTCAGTGACTGGATATAGTGAGTGTGTTTTGTATGTAGCTGATACGGGATGGGTGTGCTCAGAGTAGGTTCTGCAGGTTGTAATGGCAAGGAGGTAGGTGGGCTGGCTTGCCAGGTGGAATCCCTTGGCTTTTGTTTGTGCTTGCTACAATTAGCTGGAATAGTGGAAGTGTTCAGAATCTTCACCTGGAAGAGCTGAAGGAAAAAAAAAGCTGAAGCTTTTTAGTTGTTAAAATGGGAAAACTTTTATTTCAGCCAAGACAAGTTAGGAGAAATGAGTCATCCAGAGTTATTTAGGAACATGAGTCAGAGGACAGAACAGACCTGATGTGATATTCTGTGATATCTGTCGCTTGAATAGCACTGTGGGAGAGAAGTCCTCCTGCAGAATAACTGATAATAGATGGAAGAAAATCCCTTTTTTAATTGTTTCTTGATAGGTTCCATTTGTGGTGGCTGCAGAGCTCTAATAACCTCCAGCTGATGCAGAAATAGACTCCAGCTGAGGAGAGCTCGCTGTGCTGACTCAGTGCAGGTGGGCGAGCGAAGGGGACGGTGTTACGTAAAAGCTGCAGTTCTTTAACTCAGCTCTTCTCAGGATTTGCAGCAACGCCCATGTTTTGCAGCTTGGAGAAGGTGTGCACAAAATTTCAAGAAGTGCCTGTTCCAAAATTGGGGTTTGGATGACCCTTTGCCGTGGCTCACGTGCACCAGTTCGTTCTGGGTGGGATCATTCCCAGTGCAAAGGAGAGGTGGCCCCGTGTGGTCAGACCTGGCCGGGCTGGGGGCTTGTGTCATGGCTAACAAAAAAAGTAATACAAAAGCAGCAAGTGGGGTGGCAGTGATACACGGGCAGTGTTTCACGTCGTCTTGACTTGTCCCTTCTGGAAGATAGCTGTGGAGGCCGTTCACCTCTCTGAGACGTTGTCACTAGAAACAAGACACGTGTTGCTTTGAGTTGGAGAGATTTGGGTCTCAACTGAAGTTTCAGAGCCACTGCCACCCAGCTGACATCCCTAAAGCAGCCTGTCCCTGGGTTCTCAGCCCCACCTGAAGCCAAATCTCCCATTTTTCTCCCTACCTGCAGGACAAATCCCAGGCTGCTGAGGCTGGAAGACTTGGTCGTGCATACCTTGAACCCTGGATCCTGCTGTAAGTG